AAAACTTAGCACTAACTTCGCTGACAAGAGGCGGTCGCTCGATCGGTATAGTCCGCTTTCAGACTTCAGGACAAGGAGTTTCTTTGTTTTGTTTGTACTATGTCGTTCGTTACGCTAAATTGTTAATCGAAATCAGATTTCCCATTAAATTAAATGCAATAATTGTATACAAGGTAATATGTGTATGGGTGCACTATATAAAGAAAACAAAAATAAATATACAGAGTACTGTGCTACATGCGCATGTACATTATATTTATTATAATGAGGAGTAATTCATTTTAAATTAATTGCTATTAAACAGTATCTCGGCGATGCCGCAGAAATCGTGATTGAGAGAAGAGCAGCTCACATGCTTTGTGTAGGCCACCTTACAGCACTAAACAAGAACATCGAAAATGAAAGCACTGTATCTAGCAACAGGAACATAAAACGGGAATTAATGTTCTTTGCGTTGAAGTAGAGACATCTTACGAATACAGACATGCGATGTTTCGTTTCCAAGTGTTTTATGGCCAATATCTGTTAAATGAACTTTCATAAAACGCGAAGTATTTCTAGTTAAAAATTAATGTTTCGCGCAGTTGTTATTTTAACTTCGGTCTATGAGTAAAGTCTGTATTTATCTTCAGATAATTGAAAATGAGATAACGTATCGCATTTGCTGTTATCGTTCTCCAGATTGCGGTATTTTTCATTAACACATGATCGACTTTCAACAGAAAAGGGATAGCATTACTTCCCCCTTGCGAAAACGTACCAGAGAGTCCACATAACCAGCTGAATAAAATTTCTGTTAAAATATATTAAATATTACAGTTCAAAATTAAAGCTGAAACTTTCCAAATGTTATTATTTCCATGAATATACGTGTATATTTGCGAAAAGTACAATATATTGTAACGTGTCGGCAAACCAGAGGAAGAGACTTCCATGGAAACGCTACAATAGACCGTTACAGAGGAGACAACAATTGCTCCATTGTAATCCTAACAGGAGTCTCCATGGTTATAACGGAGGGTTCGTTGCCTAACAGCGGGCAAGGTTATAGGTAGCCCAGCTTCAGCGAAAGACAGTGAGTCTCGGGATAGCATTCGAAGGAGTGAGTCGCGGAACAGCCATCGGAGAAGAAGCTTCGGAATATCCACCTGGGTCCAGTATCGCCGGAATATTGTGAGCAGTGATTGTGACACTGCAAGTGAAAATGCCTGTAAAGTGTGTGTAAGCGAGCGAAAGAAATAAATTCGCTATATATCAGACGACGGCGTCAACTTATTTGTAGCGTGACACACAAACACGCTACATTGGTGTCAGAAGTGGGATTAGAACTTACACACGTGACGAACGAGACTTCGAACTCGAGACACGTTACAATGGTGTCAGAAGTGGGAAGAAGATTCTACTGCGACAAAATGGAGCAAGGCTTTCAACTAATAATCGAAATGCTGGCACGAATAGACTCCAGCATGAAAACCCATCAAGAAGAGATGAGGTCCTACCAGGAAAAGGCATCGGCCGATAGGAAGGCCGACCAGGAAAAGGCGTCGGCCGATAGAAAATCCTACAAGGAAGAAATGGAGGCAAACTGGGCCAAGGCGGAAACCAGACACCAAGAGATGATGGCCGACCTGAAAGTATGGCGAGAGGAATTGGTCGCCATGCGAGCCAAGAAATTGAAAACCTGTGGGGAAGAGAGGAGAACCACCCACGAGAAGATTGAGCCCCACACAGAAGCGATGCAGTCCGTACTGGAGCATCGAGAGGTCCCCGTGGAAGACGCCGCGAGAATACCGGTCGGAGAACCGAAGAAACGGCGTAGGTACCAGAAACTGGCCGCGGAGCGCCGCCGCCAGAAACCGAAGGATTCGGCAGGGGAAAATCGTGGGCCCCACAAGGAATTGGCTGTCGCCCGAGTGACTA